TTCGAAAGCGATCTCTATCGTTAATGATGGTCATGTTGGGATCTCGTTACCCAATTGTAGGTTTGACATGAACTACTGTTTAATTAATAGTAGTGTATCTGTAAATTTATTTTTGAATTCACATGTCATTATTTAAATGGTTACTACTTTTAAATTCAATCAAGTGTTTTATCAATTAATCCTATCGTATGTATTTATTCAAATAATCAGATAGAATGTAATGTTATAAAGCCTTACGAAACAAGCATTAATGTGCAGAAAACATTGATTTTCTTTTCAACTAACTATAAAGAAAAATGAAAGACAGTTCAGCGAAGAAACTTTTCTCTTCCACGATGTTGTTAACCCAGGCTGTATAGTCATATTTATAGTCAATGTTTATAAATAGTAGTTTATAATGTCACATGTTGCATCATCATTATGGTAGTATAAGAGACTAAACACATTTGGTCTTATTAAATCGAAGGATAAACTAAGTTTACTTTCAATCAGATAAAGTTACATGAACTTGTACAAACTTGTACACAATGGCATCGATCTTTACACTCTTTGTCGTCCATTAAACTATGAGATTAAAATCGCTTCATATCTTTCTTTCTTCCTGTATTATGTCCCTATAGGAAATCTTTATTTTATATTTTACCGTCACTACTTCTATGAATCCGGTATTGATCTTATTGTACTTATGAGGTATGGCAACTTGAAACGACGCAAATATGTGCCTGGTCCTACGTTGTAACTGACTGACTGACTGTGCGAATAACGCAATTGACATCAGAATTGAAAAACTCGGGAAATATTTAACAGAAAAAGCCAACCACCTAGGTTCATCAATGAAGATCTGAAGCCAAGACGGCTTCTTGAGAGATTTTCAATAGTACCAAAGTTCCTCTACATCAATGTTCATTCCAAAAACAAATTTAGCAGAAATTCTTAAAAATAAACTTTCAAGAGCTTTGAGAAACACAATTTATTTGGTTGAACTTCGCATTGCTTTCTCTAGTTAACTTTTGATTTAGAGTTGCATAAGAACCAAGCTCTTGCTCTGGGTCACATTAATATGCATAAGTTAATTTGGTCTTATGGAACAGATTGTGTAGGTTGTACCAAAGCAAGCTACTTTGAATGTATGTTTTGCCTGGCTTGCCGTATGTTTACACATATCAATCAACATTGTAATCAAAGAACATCTTGGAAATTTTGATCAAGTTCATTTTCTAGAACCTTTTTTCAAAATCATTTATATAGTTAAAAGAACTGGCTGTAAATGAATACAAACTAAAAATATGTATATAATAAGAGCTCTAACAATTTAATGACATAACACACTATTTTGTAAACTGCTATTTGCTAAAATTAACTCTAAATACTATTGTACAGCTTAAGTAGATGATATCGTTAAAAAGATCATTTTCTTGCCTGAATTGTCTTTTTCTTTTTTCTGTGCTGATTATCCCACAAGCACAACGTTAAAGCTGGTAGCAGAAATGTTAAATGAAGACCAATTACACTGTTATGTTTTAAAAGTTAATTTCATCTTTTTGTTAATAATCTCTTTTCGGACACATACACTCTTTGTTCAGTATTTTATATAATAATACTTATTTTGAATTTACTTCCTTTCGTTGAAAAATTCAGATTCGTAAGACGACCGCAACAGAATTGTATGAAGGTTTACTGGTTTATGAGTTATGTTCATCTGAGTTATTAGATCAAGTATCATCCATACTTACTGAAACCATCTGGTGAGTTTTTATCTTTGTATACACATTTTTCTTATTATTTATTTTCTTGTGGAAATGATATGGTTGGATTTATGTTGATATTTGTATATTTGTCTTGTTTAAAATCAACGTGTATACTTGTACCTGGGAAAAACCCGTTAATTTCAACTTAATATGCATGGCTTTAGACAATGACGATTAATTTTTAGACAATTGTGTTAACTTTCACTGGCTCAGGTGCATGAGTGATGTGTGTTGGACGATTCACCACCCATCACAATTTGCCACCTTTGACAGATTTGGCTCAATTTAGAAAATATTGTATTGAAACATGTCAGTAATTCATATAATCACATATCTAATTTCAGTTATTTAACGAAGCTCATATTCTCTAAGTGCTATCAGCGAGATGTCACAAATTTATGGTTAGAAGACTTTTGTATTGACATTCGCTACATTTGTACAGATCTATCCACTTATTGCTCCGTGTAATTCCTAAATATTTTGTTACTTTTCGTTTTGTTTCCTGTTTGAACCTGTGGTTTGTACCATGTTCATATACACATACATTCTAATTTTTTCTCATAAATATAATAGTTTGTCTTTGTCACTACCTTTATTGATAACTTTGGTTTAACGATTGTGTCTTTTTTTCGACTAAGAAAAATTTCTTACTGCTTTCTGAATTCATCAGGGAAGGTGATATTGAAGTAGTCAGACCAATTCGTAATCAACTTTGTGAATTATTTCAAGTTCCTGTACCAAGAATAACGAGTAATACTCAGAACCATACACCACAAGCTTGAAAAGTTTATGGAATGAAGCTTCTAATGCAAATATAATCTACGAGGATTTGTTTCATACAAATGTGAATAAATATAACAATATGAAGAAAATATAATTTTATTTAATTGTAGTAATGTTATTTAATATTCTGCATTATTTATTTTCTTGTTTTGAAACAATTCGTTGTTTTTTTATTGTAATGTAAATACTTCATTGTTAATAATGATTGCTAAGCAAGAATTTTCAATGTATGTTACTCGGTCATATTTGTTTTAGTTATCGAAATACGTCAAGTTAAATTAATGTTCTTTGATAAATAAGGTCGGATTGATTATTAAGGATGGATTTATGTCTATTAATTAAAATGTAAAGTGTAACTAGACGTTGATTATTTTATTGATATGATTCGTTGTGTGATTAGTTATAGATGCTAGAGTTTGTAAAGTTTAATAAGCTGGGACCGAAAGTAACCTTAGAAGCGCTACAGGCAGGTTAGTGCAATATACGTACGCTACATAAGTTACTTGGTGTATCTTGAATAGTACATCCAAGTTACTCAGCTGAAAATTTTAATTATGAAATTAATTTTCTCCAAATTGTTGAAAATAAAAATGAAAGATAAATTGCTACAAGCTTTTTTATGAAGTGGATGTAATCAAATTATGCTAACCATCCAGTTATTTTAATTGTAGAAGAGTGCTAGCGATTCAAGTATGGAGCATTTTACTTATTATAACATGTATAGAAACTGTGATTTTTAGGTATTTTTATTATACTTTTGTTGGTATTCAGAGTTGATTTTTCATTCCATTGTTGGAATATGTGCATTCTGACAAGATTATATCGATATAAGTTTGTTCTTACAACTCTTGGGATGAAGTTACTAGCCCGTCTTCATCCGGGACTGGCAGTAATCCTGAAAAGATGCTAAGCGAAATCGCTTTTCTTTTAAACAACCTAACAGTCCTAAAAGACTGCTACAGTTTGAAATACATTCGGATATTAGTCCCTGATAACATAAGTTAATTTATGTAGGGCTTTAACCATTTCTAGACCTTACTATAATACATTTAACTAATTACTCTTCAAACGAGTTATGTTTTTCACTAATATCAGGATACCATTAAGTAACACCACTCATAGCCCTATAGAATAGAATGTCGTTTCGAGCTTTTTCATAAGTATAGTGTTTATGATAAAGTTCATTTTTGCATTGTTTGCTGTAAAAGTAAATTTATACAGTCGTATTTTAATCTTCATAGGCATAATGACAGTATAAATTAATACGATTTCATTTTCATACTAAAAATCCAATGCTTAGTGTTTACATAATTACTCCGAAAATTTCTTTTTTAATTATTTGGAATGGGATTGATATTTAGTTAGTTTATCAAACTTTAATTGGACATGCTGACAATCATATAAAAAGCAGCATATTAATCATTTGTAATATTTGTAGTTAATAGGCTAACAAAATATTAGAAATATCTCACTAAACTGTGCAACCCTTCAGATTAATTAAAGAACCTATTAAAAACAACTCGTAAATTCATGTCGCTTTAGTTTAGTTTGATCAGTGAGTTAGTGAATATATATCACCATTTATACAAGTCTCTTGTTTGTTTATTGTTTCATTCAATTTACCGAAACATTTCATGATATTAATCTAATCAAGTATTTATGTTAATGAAAAACGAAGGATACACAAAGAAATCTCGTTGATGACATTATCTATTTAATACTTGTAAACTACAATAAATATTATTTGAAGTTCTTTTGGAAAATATACGTAATAATTAATCCCTTGTATTTGGCGTAGTTCGTCAGTTACAGGAAGTATTGTATAAAGTTGTGAAATTTTTCCAACAACTGTAGCATAATGCACATAGTTACTGTTTCTCACTTTACATTCCACCATCTTATTGAGTTTAAAATCTATGTAATTTAAATGTGACCAGTGATTTTGAACAATTCTACTACCATGATTTTAAATAAATTTTATTCGACTACTAGTTTTCTATCACGACTTACTTCAACAGTGCACCAGTGTAAATTACTGAAAAGAATAATAATTTACCATGATCCTAATCGTTTATGTTTAGTTTATGCGATCAGGAAGCTAATTTCCAGACAAGTGTTACAATGAAACAGTGAGATTATACCAAAATAAATTAGTATCGTCACTATCTTTACTTTTCTCTACAGATAACGGTTAATTATTCATGATGGTTAATGTTAATTAATTATCAATCTACCTGAATACGGACAATTCGTTTTCACTTTATAATACAGTAAAACATTAGCTTCATATGTAGTTTAAATGAGTAACAAACTACACTTAAACACACTTTTTTGTTAGTAATTTCTAATATGTTGATACACAGTCTGTAACCGTACTATAAATAATATCTAGACAACTATATAAGTAGTTCAGGTTAGTAGTAAAAATTCAATGGTTTCATTCATTAAATCAACTAAGCGAATAAGATTGGATTTAATCATGAATTACAATTTATTAAATAGGTTTTATATGCTTCTGAAAATAAGTAATAAAAACAATCCCATTCTGGATAAATCAGTATTTACGGACATGAAGTTTTTAACAACATCAAATAGTGATACAAGTAGTTAATCCAAAAAAGAAGTGATACTTTACAGTATTTCATTATTTTCTTTGTATTCAATTAATTGATAACTTACATATATGGGGTTAATTAGAACTGACATTTATTAAATATCCTTCTTATTGCTTTTGTTTCTTTGAAGAATTCGTGCATCTTTCTTAGTATCTTGATCTTGTTGATTCACAGCAGTACTGTTATCTTGATGAGTAGACTGATTAGTTATGTATAATTCATCTTTTTCCATATTCTTTATGACAGGATCTGTTGACAGTTTATTAGTTTCTAAAATATTGTCACTTTCTTGTTGGTTTTGCACATTTCGTAGACAAGCTTTAAACAATTCTCTGTCTTCTAAACCATAAATAACAAAACTCCATGTTCCCTTAATTCAAATAAAAAGATAATTTAAAGTGTAGTCAACTAATTTACAGATGACTCAAATATTATTAACGTTGTTTAGTTAATAACATATATAAAGTGTGTATGACAACAGTTGCTTTACGTTTCAAGACTTTTGACGCATAGATAGGATAGGATGTCTCTACGATCAGTGAATTCGTAGTTTCATTCACTGACTGAACATAGCTAGACAACTACTGGAAGCCAGAGAGCGTTGGTCAACTGCTTTATCACTAAATACTCCTCAAGAATTGGATATTGACGATTCATCGAACCTGTTGGGTGGGGTTTACGGGTTTTTTATTTCTAACTTCAATTAGCTCATTATATTGGGTGATTGTTCACTGTTGTCAGTGATCCTCTCTCAGTAGAATTGAAGAAAAATTGCGTAAATTCATTGGTTCATTTTTATAAAAGTGGTCAACTATTGCATAAGTATATCGTTTCTCCATTGAGACATTTTTATTAGCTTACTTTTAAATTTATACTTCCATACTTTTAATGGAACTTATTAAATAATATAACAGCTATAAAATTGTTTCATCGACATACTGCCTAGTTGGTCCTATAAACTTTACTAATCAACAAAATTCTTTAAGAACATAATAAAAGTGTATGTAAATATGGACAAATGTTTCTTCTTGTTTTACTAAACTCACCTGTAAAGAGACAAGGGCGAATGCAATAAAAACTACATACGGTATTGTCACTTGTATTACAACAAAAGTAGACTCCAAGTTATGAGATAGTACAATAATAATGAATTCAGTTTCTTCACACGTGTGCTAATTGAAAATAGAAAATTTATAAACAGATAAATTGTATTAAAATTTAATTATGAACCATGGAAAAATTAATTGTTTGTATGTATCTAAGAATATTGTCACAATAGATTTATTAGTGATATGGATCATTGAGTAGTTGACTGTGAAGTGTTTATTATTTTCCTAGACAAGATCATTGACACTAAATATTGTATTAAAAAGAAATTCTATCTGATACGCTATCAAACACAAACATTTCTTGTTTAGATTATAGACTTGTGGATTAACGCTTAAAAATTTTACCTCAGAAACCAAGTAGCTGTAAGAGGTAACATGAAAAATAAATTTTAAAACTGTGTTTTATTATTAATATATTTGTTATTGAAGATAGGAACATAAGTGTTATATCTTCAGCTTCACATAATTTTGATCACTTTCGATTTATTGACATACAGTTATACTTTTATAACACCAATGTTTTGACGAGCTACTGAGTGATATCTACCTGTACAAACTTTCGTAAAAGATTAGATCAACAATTTCGTATTAGAGAAATTTTGTTCATTTGTCCGTGTTATATTACATTCTTGGTTTTCGTATAGTATAGAGAGCATATTCAGAACAAGGAGTCTGTCATATTATTTATAAAGCAAATATGTAATAGTAACAATAAAATTTGATTGTGAAGGTTCTGACTAAAGTTACAATTATTGACCAATCGGTTCACTGGATCCATTCAGTACACAGCTGCGTATGAATTTATACTTCAAAATTAGTCGAAGCTATGACAAAATAGCTGTTGAGGGATTCCTGATTTCAGAGTTAAGTAGTTCGTTCCATGGAAATTATATGCTTAAACCTCATTATTCATTAGGATAACTTTGATGAATTTCCTCCTTTTTCGGAAATTTCAATTAAGACTATGATAAGTAAAGCTATAGTGTTTATGAATTAAAACACATCAACTCTTTTAATTGAGGATTCTAATGAAATTACATCTTGTCGTCTTGTCTGTGAGTACTTTTTCTCAAAGTACTACCTACATTTTATGTGACAGTTTATAATGGTTCATTTCAATACACCGAAGTCTTTTCTTAACTATATTTTTCTAATTTTGAATCGTACAGTTTCGTCATACACACTTGTTGCCTTAGAATTCGACTGTTTAAAATGAAATGGATGTAATTAGTTTAATCCGAATTTATGAAAGTACTGTAAGCTTTTACTATGCTTAATTAATGTACTTTACTTATGTTAAAAGAAAATAAAACTGAAGGGATTATTTATTATATTATTCTTCACTGATATAATAATAATTATACAAACCATCTACTATACTTCAATAAAAAAATGGCTATAGTTTAACCTATAAATTAATGTATCATAAAAATAAATGTTGATTATTATAAACTTACAATAGTCTATCAAGTATCTTTGGCGGTAAAAATGCTGGTGTTTCTAGATTGCATGTTAACGTAAAACATACAATTAAATTAATAATTGTATAAGCAAACATTGAACCGAACATAATCCAAAATTCTAATGATTCATTTGCTGGTAAACATAGTAAATCACCACCGTGTGAGTTTAACTTCGATATAACTGCCGGTATTAAAACTAATGAAACTGGTATAACAATACCTGTAATCCATGTCCAACAATAAGTTAATTTTAATTGACCTAATACAAAACTTTTGAATAGACTTATCGCTTCGTTTGAAAGCCAACTTGATACAAGTATAGCAAATAGATTTAATGATACACCAATAGCTTGACATGGTATTTGATATTGGTTCATTAATGGTTCAATCAATAAAGTAGCATGAAATCCTATTTGACAAAAACATAAACCCATACGTGTCAAACAGATATCTGGTATACTAGCCTTCTTCCATACAGTGATCAAAGTAAGAAGAAATATTATTGAACATGTCAACGACAGACCATTCCCTCCAAAAATAATAATATTCATCAACATGGTACATTCTGATTCTGATTTTGTACCCCATGCTTTCCATATTGGCACACTTCTATAAGGTGCATCTTCTGATTCCATTGCTACAGCGAATAGACTTAAATGATTACATGAACATTGCACATGTGTTTTAGTAGATTTAATAATTTGACAACCATCTGTATTCCATGCACCATTTATATCTAACTGATCATCCCAATATACACAACGTATTTGATTGGCTAATACTCCTTCATTATATTTTTCAGAGTTATATGCCATCCATTTCATACGCCAAGTTGTTTCATAATAATAAACACTTTGATATTTATTCAAATGTAATAATGGTACTGTATAATTGAGTTGAATTGTCATATTACTATTAACACTATTGCTTAGTGTCTTATATAACTGATTTTCTGCATAAAATTCAACAGAATACAATGGACTTGCAATAAAAAATAAAAGTGGTGTATTCGATTGTAAAGTATTATTCTTATATAACGTTTTCTGTTCATTAGCAATATAATTCTGTTGATATTGTGTATTAGTACTAAATTTATCTAATGGAATATCAGCAATCTTCAAGTTTTCATTATTATTACTTAAAATAGTTAAAATTGTCAAAGCTCCATTCAGTTGTATATTCTGTTGATCATCATTAAGATTAGTTTTAATTTTAAATTGAGAATGATAAATTTCATTGCCTGAATTTGTTAAATGGGATATATTTAACATTAAAGGATTCTTATTATCCAATAAACAATTATTATCACCATTATTATTAGTATTAGTATTATTCAATTGGAAACTTAATGAATAACTAGCTACATTCATATTTCTTAATTTTCTCAATGTATAACATGAATTTAATTGACTATATTCATTGATATTTGAAATAAATAAAAATATTCTATTTAATTCAGGTAATAATTTATTATATTTAATGATGTCATCTTGTAATAATTGTAACCATATTGGTTTAAACTTTGATGATAATAATTGATTTATTAAATTGATTATTATGTAATGAATATTTTGTTTTATTGAATTAATTTCATTAATTATTGATTGATCTATAGTATTTGTAAATGTTTCAATTGTTTTAAACCATGAATGTATTATATTCATTGTAGATGATAAAACATTTAAAGCAAATGATATATCATTGTTTTGATCATTATTATTATTATTACTATTATTGGAAATAGTTTCATAAGGGTTATACATCGTCAAAAGTTCTATACTTATTTGTAAAACTTTCATAAAATCTGATGGATAAATAAGTTTATTTGCTTGATTTGCCATTCGAATAAGATTTGACTGGAAATAATATAGAGAGGAAAAAAATAAATAAATCATTTCGGTGTTTTTTTCTAGAACTTTTTATGTTTTTTTTTTAAAATAAATAAATAGAAGTACCGTTTTTCTGAATTCTGTTTACATACTTTAGAAATTCTTAACTCAAATAAACTATCTATCTGTGTTTACTATAACTCGTATAATCATTATATACGTATTATATTAAGTTGAGATGTTAAGATACAGGTTTATTGACTATTAGATCCTAGTGAATTCTTTTCATATATATGTTAGTCATTTTTTTATTTATCTATGTCATGAGTCAGTTGAAGATAGACCACCATTGAAAACCTGGAAGCACTGGACGGCCGTTTCGTCTTAGTATGGGACTCCTCAGCAGTGCGCATTCAGTGCTTCCAGGTTTTCAATGGTGGTCTAGCTTCAACTGACTCATGATTTCAACCTGTGAAATTTACTAAAATCTCCACAAAACTCATTCTGATTTATCTATGTGTTATTTCATTTGCGATGAAACTATGATTTATGGAAAACCTTTAAGTGACACCGAAGTGACCTTGAGAGTGTTCACCTAATAATTAGGACCAAATGAGGGTTATAAACCAGTGTGAGAAATTAGAATTATGATTTACAGTTGATTTAGAGTTTTCATCACGAATTGACATAAGTTATAATGCCAAAACTCTATTTAACCAAATAGAGAAATGAATTTCGCATCAAAATTTGAGACCTGTTATCTTATACCTGATTAGTTCGTCCATAAATTATTGTTTCACTCGTTTGCTAGTGGATTTAAATAGTTTTAAATCCTCTGAAAGTGGAGCAAACCCTTATACAACATATACATTTCTGACCATACAAAATATGCTCATTTTTTCGTTCTAACTAGTTAATACTTCAGCTGTATAAGCTACTCTCTATATCACTTTAAATGTAGGTAATTGTTTAGTTGTTGTGCCAACACTAATGAAAATATTGGATGACCAGCTGTTAAGATGTACAGAATAACTGATATTTCTGTTCATTCTAATATATTTATTTATCGTACCATGTAGTTACATAGCCGATAACTGAATAAATGTAACTGGACAAATTTTAAAAAAATCAATCATTTATTAATAGGGTATGTAATATATTCAGAAGAGTTCTTAATATTATCGGACTACAAAAGGTAGTTCTATGGAGTCAACCATGATGGAAGTGGAATATTAACTTATCAGTGACATTGAATATTGACGGTATTACATTAGAAAGTAACTTATGTTAATATTATAAGTCTGTTCGATATCAAGTCAGAAGACGTTGAAGTGCTGTACAACCCAAAAGACCTGTATCCATACGGTCACTCCCGTATGTGGTTACAGTCACACGCTACAATTAATTATCAAAGTTCAACAAAAATGTTTATTTCACCTTGGTTACCAATGATTTCCTAGATTATCTTGATTCTTAAAAAATATTATTTTTAATACTTTTAATAAGACATAAGTTTCAGTATTAAATAGGTAGAGGAATTTGTCAGTAAACTCTTTTCGATCTAGTTTTTGCACTAATCGACATTCATCAATAAGGTATACCTTCATACTTTATGGAACTATTGCACCCTCTAGAATTTGAAGTTTCATCACTCAGTGAAATAAGCTTTCTTTAATTTAAATAGAGAGAAAGGGAATAAACTTAAAGTTAACGAAAAATACTTACTAGTGTTTCATCCATACACACGAGACCGTCAACTTGTCTACAACCTTGCATCATAACGCATGTAACTGTTTCTGGTATGTCATTATCACTTTCACAATCTCCAAGTAAGAATTTTTTGTTTTTCTAGGCTTTGAACAACTGATAACATTTTTGCTTTCCCAATATGCTGAAAAAAAGATTGACTTAGAGTATTTAGTTAAATTTCATTTAATCAAGAAATATAACAAAACGTTTGCAAAAGTGTGTTTAAAATAAGATATTTTTAGTTAATTGGTTTAAACTATCACCAATCAATGTGCTACAATAATATCACAGTTTAAAAGACATTCTATTTTTAATTGTGAATCAATCCACGAAATTGCGCGACTATCTTCCATTGTACTGAAGTAGATACCTGTCTCTACCTCACATGGACTTGCTCCACTGGTCAACTTTCGTGGTTTGGTTTAAATTAGACATTAACACCGTTGGATGCCAGCTCATTGATCTAGAAATTAAGCCTTTGCGCGCGAGACCGAAGGTCCTGGGTTCCAGTTCCGCATGCGGGATCATGGATGCGCACCGCTGAAAAGTTCCATAATAGGACGAATCGGCCGTTCAGTCCTTCCAGGTTTTCAACGGTAGTCTAGCATCAATCAATTTATGATCTCATTCATAAGCAGTAATTATTTTTTATCTTGCTCAGTAAGGACTGTAAATGTTTACAAAGGTATCGAAGTTTTTTAGTGGATGATCTTTTGTGAGTAGTCGAAATTAAAAAGTCATCAAGTAAGCTAGTACAGAAATTTTTAAAGTAGTCTTATTAGTGTAAATTATGTTACATACGGCAATAATAATAAATTGTGGTATCAATAATTGTTTATCATCAAAGAGAGTAAAAACAGTTGCAATTTAATTATTCAGTTAGTACATGTGAAACTCAACTAATGATCGATATCTTTTGATCAAAACAACCTGTCCAGAACTACTCACATTTTCATCATAAATTTTCCAGAATCATTTGTTATCTATGAATTTATAAGTTGTACTTAAAGCAGACTTTGAATATTCTGCCTACAATGGGTAAAGTTGGTTTCATTCTGATTTAATCTCATCTTAACACTTTGTTATTTTGATTGAGATCATGAACCGATTGATGTTAGACCACCACTTTTGGAAACCTGGAAGCTTTGGACGGCCGTTTCGTCCTATTGTGGGACTCCTCAGCAGTGCGCATCCACGATCCCGCTCGCGGGATTCGAACCCAGGGCCTTCGATCTCGCGCGCGAACGCTTAACCTACTGGACCACTGAGCCGGCATCCAATGGTGATAGTGTCTAACATCAACCAATCCACGAAATTGCGCGACCAACTTCCATTGTACTGAGGTAGATACCTGTCTCTACCCGACATGGATTAGCTCCACTGATCACGGCTTCTCACTAGAACTCCGAGAATTCCCTCACGAAGATATACATAGTTATGCAAATTAAAAATTAGTAGTACCTTCATAAACAGAAAAGTTTTTAAAAATTCAGTAAACACTTATGTTTGAGACTTGTGATATCATCTACACGTCGAAAATAAACAAAATAAATAACTTACCATGTATTTATTATTTTTCAGTAGTCATTAATTTATATTAAAAGAGGAACTTACCTAAATTTGCAATGCCTCCGGTGGCAAATACTTTATTAACTGAATCAGTTGTATTTTTGTTCCAATTGTAATATGCAGAACCAATAAATACTTTAGAAGTATCATTTAACTCTGTGTTCATATTCAACACAGAAGTCGGTATTGTTGAAGATTGTTTAAGTAAACCATTGATATAAATTCTAAGTGAACCACTGTTATCTTCTGGTTGACTAAACCAACTAAATGCTATATTTGTCCATTGACCTAATTCCAATGCATTGTTTGAATCAACTAGCCATAAATAATTTCGAGTGTAAATACTAGTTTTTAACGACAGTTTCAATTCCTCATTTTCTAATTGACCGCTGACTTGAATTAAAATTCCAGAATTATTGGGTGGACCAGTAGACAAAATTATTGCAGTCAGCTAAAAGTTCACCCAGTCCATATACACAAAATCACATCCCCCACCCCACAAACAAAAACAGTAAAATTTTGATCATTTGTTTTTCGAAAAGTGACATTAACATCAATAAACTTAATATCATTGACAAAAATTCTAACTGATGATTTTGGACTATTTGTTTCATCGTGAAAATTAACTTGATTATCTCAACCAATATGTTATTGAAAAAAAGGAACAACTATTGTGGTGGGTGCTCCTGATGTCGACAGATATAAGTAGTATTTATCATCAGCCGAAAGTGAGATGTTTGGCGGCAGAAGGTTAAGCATATTGAAGAGAACGGGAACAGAGAGTGATCGATGTGGAAATGAAGGAACAGTCAAGTCTGAGGCAATTGATTGACGTTTTGCAAATAAAGTATTTACTATGAAGTGTGTGTGTTTAATAAATGCTATTTAGCATCACATTGCATTTAAAAGTATGACTGACTAACAAAAAATACTGTTACTTAAACCGTTTGGATATAATCTCGCCTTATTCCCACCCTTCATGATATAACCAACAGCACGAAAGTGCAATGAAATATGAAACTTTTGATTTGCCTACTCTTTATTTAACTTATCTGACATGTTAAGACATTAAATGACTAAATCTCCAGACAATGTAACATACTTCAATCACTATACTTGATCATCATATTCATCAAATTCAGTTAGTATATAATTCAAACTAAATAATATCTAAGCGAATGTTTACTGATAACTTTTGATGTGATGCCTCAGTTTAATTATAGTGAGAATTACTGCATAAGATAGAGCTTGAATGTTTTCTCAGTAGCTATCAGACTGAAAGACAAAATGAAAGTTTTCCATGCTACAAACATCACGGTACACAAAATGAAATGAAATAATAAATTATTCATATCCAGTCCACTTATCTACAGTATTAAAAATAGATAAGGCAGATACCGAAGGCGCAATTAGTTGAATAATACTGATAAAAAAATAAGTATTTTTCGAGGAATAATCTAAACGAATAGCTTATATATCCATGCAAGTACATTTCATATAATGGGAGAAAATTCTTTCGGTAATATTGGAGTTTTTCAATTATAAGTTAATTATATTTGAGAAGGCGAAATTTAAGCTGCTAAGAATATTCAGTAAAAGGCTATACAAACATCTAGTTCATTTCTTTGTAATTTTACTAAGACTAGATTCTATATGAACATCAAACCATCTGATAAGTGAAATTAGAAGATCAACAACAACTCTCCAGGCTTTCTTCCACAGATAGACATGTATCTACATTTTATCACTACAAAACATACAATTAAACAGTTAACTAACGCTTTCATTGTTCTTCACATCAAGATTTTCTCCATATTCATTGACAAATCCATTAATCATTATCCACATTGACATAGTCATACCGTTCTTGCTACATATATCTGGATATTGAATACAAGATGCCGATGGAAATGATAATGGTCTAATAAAATTTTCTAATCTAGATGCAGAATTTGTACGATTTTTATAATCATTTATTAATCCTTGTAATGGTTCAAATATATCCATATTTGTATAACATATTTGTGAATTAGCTGTGTTGGCTAATAAATCAAAATTATTTTCACTTGACATATCATATAATGTCATTGAGCTTATACACATTTTTAAACCTCGTCCAATCATCAAATTTTGTTTTAATCTTACATCAGTTGATAACTTAACATTTACTTCATTAATAATTGTTCCATTTTCAATAGATGTATTTGTATTACCATCAACACGTATTGTTAATGGATGATTTTGATAATAAAATATTTGCATATTTATCCATTTACCAGGTTGTTGTATAAAATTACGTTTTATTGAATATTTATAAGTTAAATATTGACTACGTATTTCAACAATAAATTCATTTTGATCTGATGATAAATACATACGTAATCCAACAGTTTTTATTATACTATTTATTGGTGTTGTACGTAGAATTTCATGAATTCCATCTAATTCATTTGGTAATTCAAGTAATATAAATCGAAAACTTAAACCATAACGTTTACATATAGATGGATCATATAAACATGATTCATATAAATTAGTCATTTCACCATTTAATCCAATTTTATCACCATTCAATATAATATATGATAAATCATTACCTTCAGTACATAATGCACCATTTAGATTATCATATTGATCACGTCCATAATATGAATTAATTATTTTTATACGATTTGATGTTAATTGATATAATAAACCAGACATTTGCCAATAAAATGTTGAATATAATAATTCTATTATTTCATAATATTCCATACCAATTAAATTCATTAAACTAGTTAATGTTAAATATTTTGGTTGTAATATTAATAAAGCAATTGAAAATGTTATTTGTTGAATTGGATCTAATGTCTTAGAGCTAATTAATAAAAATGATTGTTTATTTGTATTAGTTTCATTAAATAATTTTTTAGATTTTTCAATTGCTTGATTAATCCATTGTTGATATAATAAATTATTGATTTGTATATTTTTATTACATTCTATGATAATTAATCCATTAATTAATAATTGTAAAATATATTCATTATTATTATTATTATTATTCATACCCCAAATTAAACTAAAATGAATCCATTGCATATTTTTTGATTTAAACCAATTTGTAAATTATCAGCAATACATAACCAATAATTTGGTATTATTGTATTATTTTGTATTATATTATATTGTAACCAACCACCTAATAATGCACCATTATATGATATTGTTAAACCATAATCTCCACCAGATCCACTAAATAATATTATTGGTTCAATTTGATTATCAGTTGGTTTTGTAAAATATCCTCCAAAACGATACCAACCACCTATACTTAAACCCTAAATGTTATATAAAATGGAATATAATAATTTTTGTATATTATTAATAGAAAATTATTAACTTATCATTAATTAGTATTCATATATTTAAATTTATTGTTATTGTTACTTAATGAAATATGTAAATGTATACATAAATGAAGTTTTATTTGCTATGACAACCAGGTTGAAATATCCCTACTATTCTAAATGACTCAGTAAACTAGTACATTTTATTTAATATCAAGTAGTTGAAATTGCAGTGATGAGAAAACCTTGATTCATATTATCTGCAACTCAATAAAATTAAGAGAATAGAACAGGTCTTACTCACTGTTATATGCAAAAACACTAATGCTGAGCTAGTTTGTGAAACATATGACAATGCTTATTTGTTAGTGATTATCAGACTTCATCAATTTGGTTTATTCATATATTAGTTGATAAAAAAACAATTGACTGTAAAGTATCTAATTATCTGTCACTGAATTAAATACAAATTGAATTTCAATAAACAAATTTAACATGATTGATGAATTATTTGCTGAATAAGTTAAACATTTTACCAACAGAAAGGGGTTTTGTGGATATTAAAGTAATTTAATAGTTGAATTCATGAGTCAGTTAAAGCTAGACCACCATGGAAAACCTGAAAGAATTGAAGGGCCGTTTCATCCTAGTACGGGACTCCTTAGTATTGCACATCCACGATTCTGCTTACGGGATTCGAATTCAGGACCTTTGGTCTCGCACACAAACCCTTAACCTCTAGACCATTGAACCGGCAGCCAACAATGGTAATGTTTAACTTTTACAAACAGTTATCAACTGAAAGATGAAGTTCCTTTCGCTCAACATATGAGGTCTATGTCTATGAGTTCATAAACTGTTATGAAATGTATTGATAATTTTGATACCATATTCTAAATTTACTAATATTGACAGGATAACTTAAAGTATGCGAAGAAAATTGACATTCATGTGGATTAAACATTAATATTCTTAAAAAATTAACTAAAATGGTTCTAACAGTCTAAACAGAAAGTTTCTAGAGAGTATTTGGGAAATATTGTAATAACCCTGCAAACATGAGACATATCATTATCTAATAAAGAGTAGTATTGAGTTATCCTCTAGTGCATGATGCATTTATTGATTGTTATTTATTTCGGGCATCAAGATTTTTACTCAGTAGACTAAAATTATGTAGGCATTGTTTAGAAACAAAAGACTTGTATTCAAAATCCTTTGGTTTTATTCGTAAAGTCTACTCACGACACAAACTTTATTCATTTAAAATCTCATGTATATTAAGATAACGACAACTTAGCAATTCAAATAATAATAATATAACTGAATGAAGAACTGATCATTTATATACCTGTTGACAGTTTTGTAAATTATATGGGCATCCGTTTACTCTAAATGTGCCTAGACGTAGAGAACCACCCTCTGATAGCTGTACTGCTTCAGGATTTCGTAAAGTAGTACTGAACTTGACACTCCATTAAGAATCGGTCCAGGTTTTGAAATGTTCCTCGAGACAGCTTCCATAATTTCAGATATAGGTGGACTAATCATATTTCTACCAAACCAAACATTACCAAGTATATTACGTAGATATGGATTTCCTAACAAACCAATCTGTTCATTATATTCTTTATGACTTAAAAATCTATTGAAATAGGCTATATCACCTAATACATAGTGACTCATTTCCCATTGAGGTTCATTTCCTCTGTTTTGTTTAGCTGCATAATCTGCATCAGAAGGTGACAACCATGCAGCTTGAGTATCTGTATCATAACGTCCAAGCACAAGATATGGTGGTGATTCACGTGGTTTGTAAATTTTCTGACCGTTTGAAAGTATACTTCCATAATTGACACCATCGAGTAACAGAGTTAACCCGACATCTCCACGCCATAATATACCAATGTTAATCCATTGTCCTGTGAAGATAACAAATATTACTGGTTATTAGATAAGAATTCAAAGTAAATGTGATTATGTATTACTTTGCATACTTTCTATTAGACCAACAATTTTTAAAAGACTGGAATAATGAAATTAGTTCAGCTCTTAAATGTCGATCATCTAATTGACTGGTCAGATTACATCATCAATATTTGATATAATGTATTCAGGTACTGATGAGAAAATATTTTATGTACTTTTTTATGAATTACTGATGCCAACTGAAAAGTCATTGAAAAACATCTACTATTTCATTCTTGTTAACGACTACTTAGTTATGAGGACCCAAGATCTTCTCAGGGCTTAATTATAAAATGTATACCTTTTGTGATAGGTAAGATAACTTCACACTGATTAGTCAGAATTAAAGAATTCACTTTGGTAAATTCTCCTTATACTTTGCATATTATCCAACGTCATTTGTGAAATCTATCATGTACCATGTTAATGAGTTCTATAGGTCACCGCATCTCACTAGAATAAATGTATAAAATCCATCAGGTTCCTTCATTTGAATATTGTTGCTTATTCAGGAAAAATACTTTCTACATATCTATCCTGGTATAAAATTCACTTGTCATATTTCAAGATAAGTAACTTAGTAATCTTGTCTACTTTCTTTTCAAATTTCGGCTCAACTCAAATCTATTCTTGTTCATGTTTGATTTTTAAAAATAAGCTAAATTAGTAGTTTTTCATTTCGTTCCGTTGGTGTTAGAATAAATTTACTTTCGTATTTACGGAAAAAAACGTAAAACAGATTCTTCTTTACTAAAACTAAAAAATTAAACACAAATACATGGTAGATACAAAAATCATCTTATGATTCGGTTAAACACAGCTTATACCATATCATCTTCCTCACATGTTTTTGCAGCCTACTTGAATATCTGGGCTACCTGTTCCTTCCATCTATATATTTCAACAAGTTATCTGTTTTTTCCAGCACATCATTATTTCTGTCAATTGCATAACCTATTTGGGCGCGTTTATTAAACATTTAAGACCATTCGCTGTACAAGTTACAAAAAAGTATAGTCAGGGATGTCGTGATAGCTGGCAATATACATTGAAAAGCAATAACATTATTCACATGTTGATTCCTGAACTGCTAACATCTAACCGCTGATCACTCATTGTTTTTCGTAAGAATCAATCAATAAATAAGAAAAGGAAACTTGTTGAAATACTTTGTACTGAGAATTTTATATATTGTACTAAATAGTACAATATTGAATAGAGCCCTTGATAATAATAATAATAAACGTTTCTTGAAATATTCGACAAACTTCTTATCTAAAATAAATGCTTTCTAGGATTAGAAATATTTGGATAAAAATAATTACATTTCATACAAAAATAACTTACCAATTTTATAACTACTCGAATCCAGTACTAATTGCCATGTCGATGATAACTGTGAAATTGAAACACCAATCAATGATGTGTCAGTAAATATTGATATTCCACGACAATAACTCATTGTTGATAAACTTGTTCCTCCGTCACCAGAATTTAAATAAAATCTTATGCGATCTTGGCTAACAGATAATAATTTTATCCATATTGACATTGAGAATCCACGTGCACTACAAGCAGATAGACTTGGCTCTATTAAACATTTCCCAGTCCATATTAAATTCGTTGATATCACCTCAGATGATTTACGCTGTCCTATAATTTAAATTTATAAGAAAAGAAAGTTTTCTTCATTAAATCCCTTTTTTTATTCATTAGCTCAATGGGTTTCTTTTTTAATTAAATAAAGCATCACCTTACCTAACATCATATAATGTTGTGGTTTCATTTCAAGTACAGGTACTTTTGATTTATTCTCATAATCATCATGACTGAAATGAAATTTGACAAATTTTGGACGATAAATTGATGCCAATGAATAACCAGGTATACCTGTTAATGAATAATCATTTTCTGGTTGTAAATATTTATATTTCTGTCTAACTTGTATTTGTACATTACTATCATAAAATATATAGGGATCAGGTGTCCAATAATAGCTGGCATTATGAAGATTAGCTTGTTGTGCTCCTTTAAGTAAAAGAAATACAAATGAATACTTCTTCAATATAAAATGTATAACAATAACCAGTTAAAAGAAAGTAATTATAATGCTTATAATAAAACAAATTTTTTAAATCTTATATTGGTAGGCAATAAGTGAACATGATAGTTAGGTTTCACTTTGATTGACTGGTAAGTAATTTATTATATCAGCTTTCTATTTATCTTAATATTTTAGGTCAGATGTTTTGTCTATATTCAATTTATATGAGATAGTTCTTTATGAGGCTTAGTTACTCTCGTTTTTTAAAATTACTTCGTTCTTGAATTTACAAAAAAATAATTAGCTTTATCAGTAATACTCAGTCAATCGCACTATTTCAGCAATCGGCCATAATTTATATAAACTGCAATTTTCCTAAAGTATAACATTAATATCATTAGAATTGAAAAGAACTAATCGTTTGATAGTTGTTTAGGATCAGCTTATTCCTTTGCTATACTTACGAGAATCAATTGGTAATTTTATTATGTTCAGAAAAAACAGCCTATGTAATGCACCATTGTATGCATCATTTAAATATCGCTGATAAAATCAGAGAGGTATTAACCAGCCCATATGTAAATTTCATTCTTTGATATAGATTTTTAATCTTTTTTTAGTGGATTTGTGCTTAATATGGCAACAAAGACGTGTTGCTAAAATGTGTTATAAACATAAAATTAAGATAGAACATTTACTGAAGAAACATTGATCTACCTTAGATCTCTTATGATACATTATCATCTAGATCTATAACCGGATCAAACTATTCTCAAAACTTATTGTCTCTTCAAACGTTTTTCTAGCATGCGGTAAACAATTGAACTGACATCGAGCGAAAAAACTTCAAGATAATGCTTTTTAGTTTTAAAATGCTCGATATAATACTCAAAGGAAGAAATTAACCGAAACAGAATATTACTTATTTTAATTACACTAATTCAACAGATACTGTGTTATTTAACTTACTTGTATAACCCACAAAAAGATGTGACTCAAACGAATACAACCATCTATACCATAGAATAAAATCATTGTAAGCGATGCCAGCAGCACTTTGTTCAATTTTTGAGCTGCCCAGAATTAGTCCATTTAAACAACGATCAGTTCTTTTCAGTGGAGTTCCTGTTGGTGGCATAACTTGTTCAACAGGCATTGAAATACCATTAAAGTATACAGATGCAGTAGGATCTATAAAGTTTGATAAACTTATACCAATATTGAACCAGATATCTCTCGGTATCATACTGTATACACGAAAAACAACTAGACCCATATTTGAGTTAACTGGAAAAAAGGTGAAAAACAAACTATGTTGTTATCTTTACTTCAAAATTGGAATTGTGTTGTTATAAAAAAGTTTGTTTGTTTTCCAGATGGTTGAAAAAACTCAAGTATATCCTTCTCAAATAAACAACAACACAAAACAAAAGATGACTGCATATATTGATGTAACTTTGATTATGATAAAATGGTTCATATTCCTTGTTAATGAACTTAAATGACTACCTTCTAAGAATATCTCTTACGAATAGTAACAGTTCATAAAGTTATCTAATCTCTTATTTCTATCATAAACTATAAAAATTATGTAGTTCAAATATTAGGTGAGTAATATTTCTCACACTAAAACTTTTGAGTTTGTTTGAATCGTTTGATCCGTTAGTTTATCATGAATGATAGACATGTCCCATATTATCATCATCATCATCTTAATTTGCTGTCATAAAGCGAGTTCATCAATTACTCATTTTAAAACCTAAAGGAAAACCATCAAAATTGTTTATTTCGAAGTCTCCCTAAAGTCAAATTTATTTGAACAAATATAGCATCAGATTACTTTCAGTAGTCTGATACATATATATTTAGATGTTATAAAGTTTTTGATACATATTCAGCCACCGGATAATGTTAACGGCTTCAACCTGATATGTTTATTTTATCTGCTTATAACATTGACTTCTCCTCTTACTAGATTTTAATTTTTTTTAAATAATGTTACTCTTGCCTATAAACTATTCGACCGTGTTTAAAACAAATCATCATCTATGAAAAATATATCCCTTTTAATCAGGTCCATTTATTATCCAATATACTAAAACAAATATCAACCAAAGTACATATGTATTGATAATCTAATGAGAATTATATTAGTGAAGTTTGATCTTTCATTTATCAACTATTCTAGAGCTACCTAATAACAAGTCACTGTCTACAATAACTCAGAAATGATATTAGATAAAACTGTATATGAACATTTTTTACTTACCGAAAATATTGATATAATTGTTATAAACTGACACAGTGATACCATTGACTAATTCTAAAATATCTAGTATACCAACAGTAGTATCTAAAATATCCGGTATGTTTAACCATACACCCATAGATAAACCTCGAGTGCAAAGACTTATATTACCGGGACAAGTTTTCACATTAAAGAGTTTCATCTAAAAGTTACAAAAATTAAGAACAAGGGAGAATAGTAAGTAATTGATCATTAATAAATTAAAATAATCACTATAATCTATAAAACGTTCAATACAAGAAAATACATTTGTCAGTAGTGAAGCTTTTAGACTTAAATGACATCTGAACAAAAACTATTATATCAAGAAAATGTAATATTAGATTTGTATGGTTTAATTCAATCAATGCAAGATATCGACTTCTCTTTATTTTATCTTCTTATGCTCTTCTGGAAATCGAAATAATATCATTCAACTCTGGAAATAGGGGCTACTTTTATTGATCTGATAGAACTACTAAGTATTACAGAAATTTAAAATATAAATTCCAACTTTCTACTAGCTTCCCTAAAGTTCAAGGCACATTTTTTGATGGGTTCTGCAGAATGTCCAGCCTCCCTTCAGCTTAAAGGCTTGAACAATATATTAAAACAAAATGAGTTAGACAATTTAATTATTTGAATTCATAACTAAATTCCACTTCTTTCTAAAGAAATTAATATACACTTGGAACTATAGAATTATGTAAATCATTATTTTGCATGTGAATAATCCATGTGGGTTGGGTTTGAAGTAGGTTAATAATTTATTTCTAAATTAAGTTTTCTGTATAATTTGCCGAGTTTTGTGATGAGTGTGTATTCACTCAAACTTTGGTTATATGCAACACGAGTTGACAAACTGATAATAATTGTAGCACTGAATTGGGTATATTCACTTTATTTTTCATGTATTATGTGAATGAAAGTTCATAAATCATTAGTGATTATACAAACGGTTTATTTTGTTCTTATAATAACATAATGTTTAATTACCTCAAAAATAAATCTAATATTTAGCATTGTAGCTAAATGCTAAAACTATAGACGAGAGAAACTTCGTTAAAACCCTTTTAAATTCATTTGTAAATTTTGTGGCCATAAATAATTAATGGAATTGAAACATCTTGATGATCACTGTCGATTAACCAGGTCTTTCTACTGATTATTTTTAACTTTCAACACTGGAACTTCATATAATGAGTTATTAAAGAATAATCGACATAAATAATGGTATTCATCTCAAAACTTATAAAGTAGTGTATGATGTCAAAATATATCACAAATACTAGTGTGTCTTTTACCAACATCTTTGAAAAAAACTAAATAAACATGGTATCTATGAAAAGTACTAATGGATATTAAGGATTAATCTTAACTATCCGATTATCATTATTCATTAAATTTTTACCTTTTAACCTTTTTATTACCTAATGAGAACTGTTTTTTTAAAGTCTTTTCATAAATATTTGACTTATGATTACTGATATACCAAATAATGACTTCATCAATCACAGTGTGAATGAAATATAGAGTTTATTTTCTTAAGATATTTGTGACATGGTGTATTTATTGTTCTATTTTAAGTTTATTTCCGGAGTCAAATAAATCTGTATCACCAGTTTTTATGTTCACACTATGCGTAGTCGAACTCAGGATCCTAATGCGAAGCACAAGCCAGATGGGCATTACACAGACAAACAGTGTTACATATGACATTGCCACCGTCAAAATGAAATGAAATTTACGTAGTAGTTGCACTGTTTTGTAATGTCTGTTTAGCTCATATCTCTGCATAATTGGCTGGAATTTTGTTCATTACATATTATTTTATTGTATTAGCAGTGAGTCCACTGTTATTTTAATATACGTCGATCATTTATAACTGATATGATATCATGTTACTAACTTCAAAACAACTTCTAATTGATGTTAACTTATAAGCAGTTTTCAGTTTAGAACGATCAGCTACCAATTCAATATCATGTTTTGTATAATTTAATGGTAAAACCAATAAAGGATTGTAATAATCTGCAATTAAATAAATTGGATTTAAAGTTTCACTAATTTCTTCAGCTGGTGTAAGCTCTTCAACTTCATTTGTGTAGTCTGCATAATTTGTGGTTTTAGTTGGTTGAGGAACTAATGGTTCTGCAAATCTTTCTGTTAATAAATAATGCTCTGTAAAACAGATAAAAATGTATGAAGAATAAATTATATAAAAAAATACACAAATGATATGAAGAGAACGATCAATCCTGTTGCAGTTACGAATGTTTGAACTTAAAACACATAGAAAGATTAGATGGTGAAATTTCGCTGAAATAAATTTGTCCGCTTGCTGTAACATGAAATATAGTAGTTATTGAAATTTACATCATGGGCTTCATTAATAGAGAATATCAGATACTCATGGAATTGATTTTTTACAGAATCAAATAAAGTGAATGGAGTAGGCTACTGAGTTACAACTGGTAACTAGTACATAAGTATACATAATCGTTGGATTTTATCATGCCCATCAAAGTTCCTCACGAAACCTATATCTGTAAGTAAACCCAGAGTAAAATGAACGACAGTATCAAAAAGTCTTTACCCCTAAAATTACAGTCCGAGGGTGATATAAATAGTGAAATAGTAATTCGATATAAACGAAAAGCTATACAATCTACATTCAATGCAGCAATATTATGCTATACTTTATTCATCCAGCCAATAATGAATTCACGAAATAAAAATAAATAGCCTAGTTTCTCACTTTATATGTATGTTTATCATTCCAGATACTTTTGAAAAGTTAGTTATATTGCTTGCACAAGTAGACAGATGTATCATGGTATTTCTAAACCTCAATACTCATGGTTGACTGAAGGATGAAAGAAAATGATAAAATGATCTATCTTAGTGCATTGAGTTTTTACTGGTCAGGTTGATTAAAATTCAGCTCCCAAAATTATCTATAGAATTCCCCTCAACGTAACTTATGGTTTCAGAATCTAGCTCATATACAGCGGAAGCCATTGGAATACATATCAATGAAGCGAACCTCTGTACAAAGCAAACGTTTATACAGCTTTTGAATTTACCTTGAAATTCATTTTAGCTACTATAAGGTTTCCGAAAACTCTCCTTTTTCAAACTTTTGCTAACATCTTAATTTATCATCATATTCTTACGTAATCTGTTTAATAATCTTACTACCTAACCTTCAATGCACTTATTTTATTAGTTATTTATTATTAATCTCACATATCACAAAACATATTTATATCCAAACTCAATTCTCTACTCTTACTCTTATGTAAATAACTATGATAATTAAGTAATTAGGAATTTTCTCCATAATTTAGTTCTTCAAACGTTGTGTTATTAACTCATTGTTATTTCGTTACACTGACTCACTACCGTCTATTTGGTATCGATTTTGTACCTAATTGTATAATATATGTATTCATGTAGATCCCCGATTAGGAACTAATTGTAAAGATTATAATTGCTGAAAAATTCCCATTATATTAAAACACAATTGTATGAACAAGTTTATTAAAAACCTAGGTAAATGTGTACCTATCGGCTTAATTGTTTCGTATACGTCTTTTGGAATCATCAGTTGATATCTGAGCTTTTTTAAGGTTCAGGTCAGTTCATTCTCTATCTTATTATTGACATCTTTTGGTTATTCAGTTTCTGAAATTTTTTTTGTGTTTTAATTGAAAAGAAGTATTTTTTCACTCAACTTGTATTTTTAATGTCTCATTGGGAATAGTAATTGCATTTTGATTAAGTCTTTGAGAAACAGTTCTATTGAATTCTATTTTTGTTAAATGTCAGTAAATGAATTTAGAACAAGCTGAATATTTCATGTATATCTTCTTTTTTAAAAATATACGAAGTTCAGAATCGAGGAGCCATGAAACTAGTCAACTGATTCATATACCACACTATGATATTATTTTACATTAAAAGCTATCATAACAATTTAGAATGAAAATTACATTGAACATTATTTCTCCAGAACAATAATTTTCATTATTGCAATAGATACTCAACTTACCCAGGCCTCCGCTAAACAATTCATTTAATTGGATAGGCCAATACCATAAGGCAACTGTCGCTACTCTAATTCCTGGATTAACAGATGAGATGATTTTCTCTCCATCTAATCCTCTATTACAACCGACCCAAATTGATGTTGGTGTTGAATTACTACCCAAATATTGAACACCTTGATAATTATTTTTCGCAGCAACTATCTTACCATTTATCACCAGCTGAGGTAGAAAAAAGTATCATTCTTCTCATAAATTATTTCTTATAATAAACAATTCATAACAGAATGTTATGATTACTATAAAACTGAATTAAAGACACTAAGTTTAACACAAGGATGTTACATATTGCATTTGACAAAATTATTTATTGTTTCATACATAAACTCTAGATCTCTAATTCATCTTATTTAAGATGAACTACCTACTATTTATGTTTCTATCAAGTTCTAAATACATGCACATCCACTAAATATAAAACCACTGAATATATCCTCCTCATCAACTTAGAACAGGATGGAATATGAGCCAAATTAAGAATAAAAGTGATTACAGTCAGTATACAAACATTTTAGAAAAAAAAGAGGTCAATATCGAAAGGTACTAATTAATTGTCGTCTGAAAATCACCAAACAAACACTGAATGTTTCTCAATAATTAAATATTTGTATTAGAAGGGGTTTTGTGGATATTATGGTAATTTTAATAGTTGAGATCATAAGTCAGTTGAAGTTAGATCCTGTGAGGCGAGACCGTGGATGTGCACTTCTAAGGAGTCCCACAATAGGATGAAACGGCGTCCAGTGCTTCCAGGTTTTCCAAGGTGATGACCATCAACTCTGAGATGCAGGTTCATCCGGCTGACGAGTCCCAAATAGGACGAAACGCGCATCCTGGATTCCACTGCTAGCCACTATCCATTATTTCTTGAAATGTATTTGATAATGTTCAATATCAAAAAAACAGTGTTTATCTCTAGATTTATACTCAGATCAATGTTCAGATAACAATAATTATTTTTTGTCTCATGGCAGTACATCTCGATATGACAATTTGTATACTTACAACCCTTATTTTCATGGTGAATGAGTAAGTTTTGCTGTTAATGTTAATTGATGTGAAATTATAATATCAGTGATGAACAGTTCGTGTTTATTTTACACTATACTACTACTGTACGACATTCGTTACTTATAGAATAAGATAAATCTAATAATTTTAAGATTATATAGTGAATTAGTTGATTTTGTGGTTAAATCTACTATTATTAATAGAATATTTTCCGAGAAGTTAGCTAATAATAAATCCATAGAATTTGAATACATCTATCGGTCATCTGGCGTCATTTTATTACTACTATACGTACGACAGACCAACTAGATTGTGATTCAATAGGGAAATGTCATTTTATCAAATCAGTGTATTGAAATCCTGTTGACCTTGGATCTAATTATTGGATGAATATATATGAGCTTGATAAATTAAATAGTTATTTAATGTTTACAATTTTTACTCCAAGTTTTTAAATTGTATCAATAGTTTATATTATTATATTCTGTCCTAATGACTTAACTAAAGAACTTTATGGTCCTATGTTATATGGAGCCATAAAATTACTTCCTTTTGAAGAGCGATCACTTCTTTAAATAAATATGGTTTTTATACGAATATTCGTTAATATTAGAACGAATAGTTTGACAAAAATTGGGCGCCGAGTATAGAGAAGACATTATATGTAAAAATTATATTTGAAATAATCTCAGCAACTGAAATTTAAAATAATTCTAACGTTTCGTCCAGCAAACATGTCTGGACTTGTTCAGGGTAACAATCAAAATCATCAAAGAAATATTTATTATTATTATTTCTTTGATAACTTTGGTTATGATTTTTACCCTGAAGAAGTCCAAATATATTTGCTGGCCGAAACGTTGGAATTATTTTAAATTTCAGTCGCTGAGATTATTTCAAATATAATTTTCACATGTAATGAAATATGATTTTTGTCTGGTAGTGTATCTTATTTTCAGTAATACCATAAAATTCCGTTGCATTGAAACTTTATTCAGTTACAAATTTCGGGGACAAAAGTTACTGAAATCTAGCAATCAAAACAATGTTTAACTAAGAAGTGCTATTCCACTAGGTCTTAAGGCTTTCAAAACTTTTCAGAGTCGTTTGAAAAAATTTGATTTAAATTCTGTAAGTTCAAACAAAATTTACTGTTCTTACAGATAGTAAAGTTAACTGCGTGATTTGTAGAAATCTGATTAAAGTTATCACGTTTTCATTGTAAATTACACTTCATAGTCAAATGTCTCTAAGATTTTAAAACCACTCTCAGCCTCACAAGCCCATAATGAAAAGTGATATTTTAGTAGACGAAACACTGAATACAGTCTCTAGCATTCACTGAAGTAGAAGAATGCTGAGCATGGATTTAATTATGTAATTTAAAAAGTATTTTATTCTTATTTAGACCTAGAAGGCTGAAGTTCATTCTTTCGAAATATGTTGATGCACATTAATCAAAACTCATTCACAATTATCATTCTCAAATCACGCCAATTTGTAGAAAATTCTAAAACTCACTAAAATTATTAAATTCAGAATGCATTTAAGCATTTCATATTTATGGAGGATTTCAAAAGACAATAAATTACATCGGTTTTGTAGGAGTGTATGCAAAAACTATACTGATGTCTGTTAGAACAATGTAAGATATAAAATGAATTCATTCTAAACAGAACAAATGTAATAAATCTCTCTTTGTCATATGAAACATAAATGTAACGAAATGATTTAACATATTGGATCATTCACAAGTTGAAATCATGAGTCAGTTGAAGCTAGACCACCATTGAAAACCTGGAAGCACTGGACGGCCGTTTCGTCATGGTATGGGACTCCTCAGTGGTCTAGTGGTTAAGTGCTCGCGCGCGAAGCCAGTAGGTCCTGGGTTCGAGCCCGCGTGGTGCGGGATCGTGGATGCGCACTGCTGAGGAGTCCCACACTAGGACGAAACGGCCGTCCAGTGCTTCCAGGTTTTCAATGGTGGTCTAGCTTCAATCGACTCATGATTTCAACTTGTGAAATTTCTAAAACTCTCCACAAAACCCATTCTGATAATATTAGATCATCTTATATTCACTTACCCACTTTCACTCAATTAGTTAATTTTAGCTAAATTCTGTTGACTGATTGTTTATTCATTAATCATTTTAATCAGAATAATTAGTAGTTATGGGGTTCACTACTTTATATGACTAAACTTTCAATATTATAAATACACAACAATCTAAAGGAATATGTGCAATATCATAACTTTGGATGAATAAAAACAAATTGATTTTATTTCGGTGAATTGGTTCTTGCTACGTCAAACGTTGTCATGGAAACTAAGCTTACGACGGTTTAATTTAATCAAATACTTACTTTTATCATTTGTGCATTTTTACCCCATGCAACACCAATATTAACCCATTGATTTAATATTTTTGTAATTGGACTGTTAACTTTCCAAAGGGTATCTGCTGTCCTCAGTTCAAATTCTAACATCCCGTTGTTAATTAAGAGAGAAAAGCCTTTTCCTTTTTCTGGAGCTATAGTTTAAATGTGTAGGAAGCAGATAACACAATTTAAATAAATGTTTCAATCACCTTAAATATATAATTCATGATTAAGCTCTCAGAATTTATCAGTTGTTGGCTCCATGAAGTCTATAGTGATTTTAAGTTATGAAGTAGTTAATCCAATAAAATAAGCATGGACAAAATAAAGTGAAGCATTGAACCAGGGCCGTTGATCTTACTGTCATCTATATCGAAAAATGCATTTCTTTTTAAAAAAATGACATCAAACAGTGAGATGAAATCGATTAATAATCTTGAACTGATCTTAAAGCTGTTGGTATTTGTCAGTAAGTTTAGTTACAGACTTGAATGATTTTAGCTTGCCTATTAAATGTAGTGGTGATATGATGGGATAAATAGGCAACACTAGATTCTTTTCCCCATAGTATTTTTGCTCAACAGTACTTCCGTTTTTTTTTAATTCGATGTGATAATTACTTAGTGTAGCATTCGGTTTTGTTTTCTAGTGGGATATTTTATTCGATATATCCTACGATATTCTGGCACTAATTTAACATGAACTATACTCGGCATGGCATGGAACATGTGATTTGTTATAATCCCGGGTATTTTTCAGATATATGATTTGATCCTAATTAATAATCAAAATAGGTTTACAATCAGTATATGTATCGAGGGTATTTTCGACTAGGGTTGTCGTTGTGTTTAGGGTTAATATATCTTCACTTGTATCAGTCTTAGTGTTCTTACTTCGTGTGGTGTGGATTGCCGTGGTTCCTCATTTTACAAGTATAAGTGATAAGCGATTACGACATAACAATTAACGACGACCAAGTGGAACAATTGGCAACACAGTCATAACATTCAACCTCCAGTGGTAACCATGAGTAATTTTTACTGTCACTATATGTATTGTTAAGACCGTTGGATATCATCCATTATCCATGAATCAGATGTTACAGAAGTGATAAGAAACTGTGAAACACCAGTGAAAATTTTAGTTATCGTTATTTTCAACTTATGTAAAGCTATTAACTGCTAGTTGCAGCGGTTATTGTTACATATTGGAATTTCAGATAAATTTCCTCAAGTCTATTAAATTTAAGCTTAAGAAATATGTTCTGATTCGTTGACGTTATGTTATAAAACTTGTTTATCTTGAAGATTTGTGCTAAATTAATCGATTTAGTATCCGTATTAATTTGGAATAAATATCTGTAGAAATCAACGAAGGATAGTGTAAGTTTGATCATAATGTTTTCTTCCTTTTCTCTGGAACATGGATTGGTAATAAACCTATATAAGACATACATACATTTTATAGAACGGTGGGAGGATGGAATCGAGTTGAAAAATGTGCTGCATTCACGTTATACATTTCGAATAATATGGTCCCCCATGTAATTTTCAAGGCATTTTATATGAAAATTAGTAAATTCAATTAAATAAGAGTATAAATAAACAAAAAGCGATTACTTTAAATATGGGATAGAAGAATTTAATATGATACTGAATAAATAATGAATTTTTAATAGTTGAATTCAGGAGTTGATTTAAGCCAGATCACCATGGAAAACCTGGAAGCACTAGATGGCTAATTCGTCCTAGCATGAAACTCTTAACCAGTTCACATCCATGACCTGACACCCAGAAATCGAATCCAAGATATTTGGTCTTGTGTAAAAAAGCTTAAGTTCATGACTATTGAACCGAGACGCAACAGTGCCAATGTCTAACTTCAACTAGTTCATGAGTTTTATTGGTTTCTACGTATGCCTCGAAAAGTATATATGCGTGCAGATCATTCATAATATTAAATCCTTCCAAATATCAATACAGCTCATCAGTCTTAGAGTGACTGATTACACTTAAAGCTTACCTGTTGATATAAGGACTTCTTTTGGATTGAATGTTTCTGTCGTGAATTGAAGCCAAATCGACAAACTCAATCCATAATCACATTCATTAATGTCTAGTAAACACTGTTTAAAGTAATATCGTTCACGTGTAATGTCATTCAGCAAGCAAATACAACTTTCATTCTCATTTGAATAATGTAAATACTATCTTGAGTATCATGAATGCCGGGAGTAGTTAATCTTTTTTCTGGCAGGGTTCCATTTAAGGATATAAATAAAGATTTCTTCATGTTATTTAAGTCATTGTAAATTGGACCAGCGTTACTTAATTTACTGTCGAAAAGCGATAATCTGTCATATATCGATCGCGTCAGTGTGTTACGATCTGGAGCACGATCGAAGATAAATGATTTCCCAACCACTCTTTTAAATGACCAATAGTGGTTTGCAGTGTTTTCATATCGAACATCTGTATGCAAAGAAAGAATAAAAGTAACATGAAAACCCTGATCAATATAAAGCATTGTGATTGGCAGAGTGTAACGAATAGTAGTCGGTTGTTACGGTTCAGCAGTTTTATACCTTCTCCAGAACTATATGAGCATTACCTATCAAATTTGCATTTCTGATTTATATTTATCAACGGCTGAAAATGGAATACATTTTTACTATTCATAAATGTTTTATTGTGTTCCTACGTGTTTTAGTATTTAGGACTTTTCTCAAAATGTACGGTTTATTATTGAATTACTGAATAATAAATATATTTTTGTTATATCTCAATGCGTAGGGAAACTGCATTTTCACGTTTCGTAACTTAATGTAAACCACTTCTTCAGAGTGAATAAGTAATCAAGTTAAATTAACACGAGTTTAAATGGTAAAAAGGGAAAAATGTAGAATATTTTTGGTGCAGTCAAAATCATAATAGGTCTGAAAATGTCAATGTCTAGTTATTCTTGATCAATGTGAATTTGTGTGACTTATCACTGTATTAATTTCTGTATCAGAGTGTGAGGTATGAAAAATGTATTCATTGTAAAATCAAGTAGTGAGGAAGAAAATAGGTGTATGTGTGTAGAAAGTAAACAAGGTCATATGTTTTCGACTGAGATCACGAATCAATCGATTTTAAAACACCATGGAAAGTCTGGAAGCACTGGACGGCCGTTTCGTCCCAGTGTGGGACTCCTCAGCAGTACACATTCACGATCCTTCTTGCTGGACTCGAACCCAGGACCTTCGGTCTTGCACGTGAACGCTTAACCTCTAGACCACTAAAACAGCATCCAACGACCAGTTGGGAGGTCTTTTTGTAATTTAGGTGTTCCTTCGCAAGAGTAGAGATCTCACTGGAAGACTTTCCAACATAGAATGCATCATAATCGACACAACCTAGTCGATAATCACTGAATTACACAAGTTACCTCTTGTATAACAGAAGGCAAATAACCGCATAACTTAGTGGTTAAAACAACTCATTCATCAAAATAGGTCATGTCAGCAAACAGAATATTTTTGCATAATCATTATGTAAACATTAATAGAACGATATTACAATGTACAGGTAATATATGTACTAACCACTGATCGATACATATTATACGAGGAGTAAACACACTATCTGACCAGCCGAAGTTGGTCAACTGATAATTATAAATTCCAAGTGGATTTCTCGTAGAAATATTTAAACATCATTACAAATAACTTATTACTATAGCGGAATATACTGATGAATAATGCACTATAATGCTACAATTTAATGTAAACAGTTTAATCTAATACCGAAAAAAAATTAGATTTTAAATTATTTATAAAAATTATTGTTTTTTTAAAAATAACAACTACAGTAATCCTTAATTTGTAAAAGTTTTCTTACCTTCTAAGTCTTCAATGGGCAGTTCATATTTCGGAACTGGGAGTTGAATTGGTTTTGGACCTGTATTATCTTCAAACGATGCTAACTTAATAATAGTTGATGATATGACTCCCGTGATGGTTTTGATAGAACTAATAGTGGTGGTAGAATTTGTGGTGCTAGCAGTGGTGACTTCGTTTGTGGTATTGGTGATAAAGGTCGGAATGGTGGTGTTAGTAGTAGTGGTTGCGTTTGTAGTGTTGCTGATGTAGGTCCAACTGGTAGTGTTAGTGATAGACTTGTTCGTATTGATAACACCTATTGATAAAGGCAAAAGTTAACACTAATTCAAAATATTAATAATTTAAAATGATTTTAGACAATACAGTTATTAGTAATAATCGACTTCAGTTAGAGAGCCAGTAGAATTCTCTACTTAATAGACTAATGTTTCTTCTCAGCTAGAGACTCTTCAATATCCATGACACTACATGAGAACGAGTTAAGGATTTTCAGGTCTCATTTCAACACCAAGTCGAAGTTCATTGGTGCAGATTTTCTAATTTGAGACATTCACGATTTAAATGACTTTTATTTAATGTTATATCCTACCATTTCTTTCATATTCAACTCGATGGAATTGAAAAGGTAATTTACTAGATTCGGTGAAATTCATCTCACTATCAGTCACCAGTTGTCATGTGAATATCACCAGATAAAGTGTTTTTGGAAATGTATTCAATGTACAGATACTTTATCCAATAAATTGATATTTTCTTATTATGAAACGTCTTGCTAGTTGACAATTTACGGTTGTTCTTATCAATCAATGGTCAGTTTATAATAATGGATTCAGTAGTTATTTAAATAAATCTATATAAGATATCAGTAAATAACGTTGATTTCTCCTTAAAATTATGTTTTGCTAGCCAAATATCCACAAATGTAATTATATTTAATTGATATTAAAGTGATATCTTTTACAGTAATGTCTGCCACATAAAATTGAATTTGAAGAGAAAATAATGATGAGGCTTAGTGACAAGCGATTGGAAAGCACATGTGCAACAATAAAATTTTTCTCGTAACTTCATGTAAAAGTTCAAGATTTTATTGTTGGGTTTAAAACTAATGTATGTCATAGTAGTTGACAGTAAATACAGTTGTTCTTTTTCAAAAGCCAATGAAACGATCATTGTATCAAAGGCGAAACATTTTCGCTTGCAACTATCATCAGAATAATATTCAACTGACTAGATTAATATTTAAAGGAATACTTAGAGTTTTCCACAAATTTCTGAAGAATTTTATGAAACTGCTTTCAACAATTTCATTTGGTAGAGAGTTAATCATCCACTATTTTATAGTTCTCTTTCATAAAAGCCGTATTTTATACACAGTTAAATATTAAGAACAATGCAGTGTTATTTATTGTTTACCGCTTGGAGTTCCTAAAGTCAATAAACTCTGAGAAGTATTGGAAGTAGTAGTATTTGTAGTAGGTCTGACAGTGGTGATAATAGTCGCAGTAGTAGTAGTAGGAATAATATTAGTTGTGTTAGTTGTGGAAGTAGTATTAGTGGTTGTAGCATTCGTTTCCTTCAAGTTAGTAGTATTAGTAGTAATTGGATTGATAGTTGTTGCGTTAGTAGTAGTAGTAGTAGTAGTAGTAGTAATAGTTGTAGTATTCTTCGTCGTCATCACCGTAGTATTAGTAGTAGTAGTTTTAGGAGTTGTAGTAGTAGTTGCCATAGTGGTATTGGCAGGAATAACAGTGGTAGTAGTTACATTAGAGATAGGACCAATAGTAGTTGTGTTAGTCGTGGAATTAGTATTAGTAATGTTAGTATTCCTTATCACTGAGGTGGTATCGTTAGTAGAAGAACTAACAGTGCTGTTGGTCACAGTAGTAATCACATTGGTGTTAGAAGTAGTATTAGTGGTTGTAGTATTCATTGTCGTCCTCATAATGGTGGTTGTATTCGAAGTATTAGTAGTAGAAGTAGTAGGGCTAACAGCAACAGTTGTTGTTGCAGCAACAACAGTAGGACTAATGGTAGTTGTACTGGTATTAGCAGTAGTAGGACTGGATGTAACTGCTGGCACGGAACCAACAGATGAAGTATTTAACAGTGTATTTACTGTAGTGCTCAGTAGAGAAGATATTTGTGTTGTGTTTGTTGCTGATTTTACGGTTGACACAGTTGGTAACAATGCTGCGTCCGTCACATTTTCTCCAACTGTTGTTGCTACTGTTGTATCTAGTGTACTTGAGTTGCCTATTTGGTAAATTAATAAGAACAGTTTGAGTTATGTTATTGTTATTTCAACAGAGTCAACGTAAAGTAAAAAATTCCAACCATTAAAAGTTTCCTCAAACATTTTAGTTTTCTTTATAATTTCATAATCCCATTGAACAGATGAAACTAAGAATTTGTTTTTGTGCAAAAATTACTGATCTCAAAGATCTACATCATCATTGTTTTACAGAATTGATCTGATGATACTGTTCATAAAAATATTGTATGTATTCTCTTCAATTTTAGTGTAATTTAAATTATGTTCAGTTGAAAGTTTCTCATCCTAAAGGATATATAATGATTATTAAGTAGTGCATTCACGTGACAACTGAAAACTTTCAATTCAATAATTAATTTATTTATAATTCAGTTCTGGTGAAAGTTTAGGTAGTTCTAAACATATCGAAAGCAATTTTGGAATCATTAATCAAGTCTTTTTGCCAAAAATTCTTGAAACATTTGTCAAAAATTACTTGAAACTGAAGAAGCTGTAGCAATTTATACTTTGATCAGTCCCTTAGATTTTTATGAATGTAATTCTGATAAGTATTCCGACCTTCTACTCTCAAACTGAAATTTTCATTTCTTGTCATTATCATATTGTTTTTGATCTTTTAATAAAACAATTCTTGCACATATATGCTTTCTTACTTATTCATTAATGTTGAGGTATCTAATCCCGTCAAATCAATACTGTCTGACTTCTCAACTCAATAAAATTTTGATTACTTGTTAAGAAACAATTTTACTGAAGTCATACAAATTTATACTCTGTAACTGAGTCTTACTGTTAGTAACTGAATGTTCGTTCTGTATGTTTGAAGTTTGAAAAAGAGATCTTTGAAAAGATCACATTCCTGATTTGTTTTATAACTTATTGAGAGTGTTTTGACTCCACGTCTAGCTCTTCTAGGTTGACTCCCAATCCCAAGTACAAATAAAGGAGAATTGAGCATAGGGTCAGAAACTCCATCTCATAAAAACAATTTCGCTAAAAAAACTTAACCAGAAAACAATCATTAAAACCATTTAAACTCTCCATTTAGGAGTTGAAAAATCTTCATTTAGAAGAACTATGACACTTCATAGTCAAAGCTGAGATTCTTAGAAAATCACAAGGCCGATACCCCTTCTAAAAACCAGAGTAATAATTATTATAGGTACATGGAATATCCGGACAATGTAGGGGACTAGGAGGACCAATCAAATAGCTGTGGAAATGAGGAGATACAACTTGGCGGTTCTCGCAATCAGCGAAACACAGTGGACTTAAGCTGGACACAAAAGATAAGCTTCGAGGCAGATGCCATTGTACTCTGGTCATCAAGAAGAAAATGCTTTGCACACGAAGGGGATTGCACTGTCGCTGTCAAAAGAATCATGAAAAGCACTTATGGGATGGCAATCTCATGGATCCATAATCATCAAAGCATTATTCATGAGATCTCAATGAACGTTATCCAGTGCTATGTACCGACGAAAATCATCTTCATGAGAGGCTGAAGTCGATCATAGAGAAGTGTCTATGAATGAACCTGACCATCCTTATGGGAGACTTAAACGCCAAAATCAGAATAGATAACACCGGATATAAAGGTGTCACGGGAAGATATGAACTGGAAGAAAGAAACGAGAATGATGAGAGATTTATAGATTTATATTCATTCAACAAAATGGTTATAGGCGACACATTATTCTCACACAAACGCATACGCAAGTAACATTGGTCTCATCGGATCACACCACGGAGAACCAGATAGATCAAGCATCATCGGTAAAGAAACTCACAAGTTTGATGGAAGACGTAAGAACCAGAAGAGGGGCTGGCACAGATTCAGACCACCATCAGGTTGTCAGGATCCAACTTGAGCTAAAGAAGCATTGAACAACTGAAGAAACAGCATTACAAAGGTTCAATTCAGCCTTTCTTCGAGATACTGACAAACTCAACCAATTCGAGATGGCTCTCATTAGCAGGTCGCAAGCATTACAAGGTCTACTTAAAGAAGAAAAAACTTGAAAAGGAATAAAAGGAGCCATAACTTCGAACTGTCAGGAGGTTCTGAGCCTCAAGAATCATCATCATAGAGAATGAAAGTCTGTCGAAACACTGGACAAGATCCAGAAAAGGAAGAACAAGAAGACAGAAATTAACAACAGCTGAACAAGAACACAGAAAGTCAAGGCGCAGATCAAATGGACAGAAGCAAATAAGCAATTGAAGAGCAGCCTTCAGACGAATCAAAGTGAGAAAGCAGCAGAACCTGAAGCATTGAAGTCAGACAAAGAAGTAACTGCAAACATGCGCAATGTTCTATTCACGAAGATTTAAGGGAAAAACAAGTCCCACTGATAGACTTGGAAGAAGAATACTTTATCAAGATACCAAACGAAGGAGATCTGAGTAAGTGTGAGGACTACAGAGGCATCACACTACAATCGGTACAATAGAGTGTTGTTGAACCAGATGAAAGATTCAGTAGACATCCAGATTTGTGATCAACATGCTAGATTCCATAATGATCGGTTGTGAACAGATCAAATTGCGTCACAACGGATCATTGCTGAACAGCAAAGTGAATGGGATTCGTCAATGTACATTAACTTCCTTGACCATGAGAAATCGTTTGGTACTGTGAATAGGAGAACATTATCGAACCTTCTTTGACACTATTGTGTGAGTAGCTGAGATCGTCAACATCATACGGGATTCATATGACTGACTACACCGTAAATTCGCTCATGAAGGACAGCTAACAGATGGATTCCAATTTAGGACCGTAGTCAGACAAGGCTGCTGTCTCTCCCCTTTCCTCTTTCTTATGGTGATTGACTGGATTATGAAGACCTCCACATCTCAGAAAAGGCACGGAATACGATGGACAGATTGCATGCAACTGAAAGTTTTGAACTTCTCAGATGATCTAGTCCTGAAATACAGCACAGAGATGACCAATCCAATCACATTCGATGGAGAAGCCCTGAAAGAGATGAAAACTTTCACAACCATCATCGAAAAGGTCCACAGCTATATAATATACCCTTGTGGGTCAGGTTAACTTTACATTGGTTTTCAGGAGAACCAGACACCATCCGGACTTTCGCGTGACAACCCCAATTAACAGGATAGTCAGACACCGCCCAGGCTTAAATTTTATAAACCGGGCAGTACATCTCAGTGCCGCTTCACGGGAGAACCAAACACCGTATGAGCTTTAATGCTAAAACCTGAATAGTACAGCCCAATCCTACGGCGCAACCACACAGGTACGAAGCACCCTGGTGGACCAATCGAAGAGGTACAGGTATTTATTAACGATTGTTTGCACATTATACTTCAAAGCTATTGGTTGGATACCATCAGCAACAACTTAATGTTGTAGGAAATAAAACAACTACTGGCTGAAGAGGATGTTATGAAAATACATTGAAAGTGGATAGGATAAACATTACGGAAATTGTCAAACTGCATTACGAGGCAAGCCATAACTTGGAATCCTGAAGTCGGAAGTAAAATAAAATTAAATAGCATTTTGCGTCAGGATTGGAAACACATCAAAAGAATGTATAGCGATTGGAAAAATCTGGAAAGAGAGCCTAGGAAAGGGGTCGACCGAAAATCCTAGTTGGCAGCCTATGCTTTAACGAGGGTCAATAAGTGTATGTAAGTAAATAAGAGGGGTTTTCAATACTATTATAAATCAAAGCTATGCACTGAGCGACTAAAACGTAGTTGTTTTACTGAATACATTTTTCTGGTCAGTAATTCTGAATTATGGTGTTAAGCATTGAAATGTCTTCCTCGAAAACCTTGAGTTATTTGAAAAGATGAAAAACTGAAGAATTCTTCTTAAATTTTACCTTGCAAAACTTGAAATGTGCTGCTGCTTAAGACATCAGTCAATGGAAGTCGTTGTTTAAGAACAGTCTGCATCACTGGATAAAATTACGTGGAAAAACACGGAAAAGTATATAATACTGGACAGTTATGATCTCCTGATTTAGGACTTCTTAGCTGTACACACGCTTCACCCCACGCTGTCCCAAGTCCAGAACTTTCAGGTCTCTTGAGTACGGTGAAACTGTTTGGTCAGTGATCGCGATGTGAGCCATCCATACGAGTTGGGTTTCCGACCTCAAATATATAAGTAACTGCAAGGATGGTCAAAAATATCTAAAAGGAGGCATTATACCACTATCTTTACCAAGCGAACGTCCCAACAAAATGTTGCTGAACCAAGCGAAGAAGTCAGTGGACATTCATGTTCGAAGTTAACAAGCTAGATTTCGTAAGAGCCGATCATGTGCCAACTAAATTACGACATGAAAAATCATTATTGAATGCAATTCGTCGCTACACGTCATCTTTCTTGATTATGCAAAAGCACTCAACAACGTGAATAGGGGAAATTGTAGAATATTCTCCGACACTATGGAACATGTGAAACGATC